TATTTACGTTGGTATTATGGTTATTTAGGTGGTTAGTACCACTGGTTGATGATCTCTAAGATTCGTGAACTTTAAATAAGTGTTCCCCGCCCCTCACCTCCTGAGTTTATGTCGTCGGTATTATGGTCGCCTCGCTCTTTGTCGCGTATGCGTGTACATTGGTTTCGCAATTTGCTCAACTTATCTCCTGCATTGTGCTGTGCAGGCTTTTGAATTAATTGAAGCTTTTTGCCAGTGCGGACGCAATACAGCTCAGATCATTTTCTTGTTCATGAAAAAAGCGTTAATGTTACCCTTGCATGCTGTGCTCTTCTTTGTCGTGAAAAGTTAACTAGCGTATTGACTTGGGTTCCGGGTGATTCATTTGGAGGTGGCCATACAGGGGTACGAACATGTCTCTCCGCATCAGGAATACAGCTTCCCTACAGGGAACTCTAACACCACAGTTTACCCAACAATTTTTTTCATTTTAAAGTTTTGCGATCAATTATTGATAGCACAGCCTTACTGGAAACATGTGGAAGACAAAAAACTCTTTGCCGCCAACTTGGCGCCAAGGCGTAGTGTACCTGACGTCAAATGACAGGTCAGAATAGATCAACTGCAGATATTGTGTTTTGCAAACGGATCCTGGCATCAATTATTGAACGCTTCAACACCACTATTGACGTGCTCGGGTTGGACCTGAGCAAGAGGCTTTTGACGCATTAAACCGCACAAAGCTGCTCGATGTAATAAAGCAAGAGAAAATAGGAGACGGGGACGGTTTACGACTGGTTAGGTACCTGCTATCTGGCACAGCAATGACAGTCCGCGTGAACGAAGCACAGGCTGCACCTTTTGAGACAGTTCGGGGAATCCCCCAGGGCGAGCACAACCAGATGAAACGGATGAAACAAGATGAAACGAGATGAAACGAGATGAAACAAGATGAAACGCGAAGTACGGGCGCAGATGGGCCAATCTCTTTAGTGATGAATATAATTGTGACATAGAAAAATGTGGGCACAAGCTATGCAATCGAGTCCACCAACTAAACCAGATTTCGAATAGTCAGACGTGCACAATCTAGCACGAACCTGACAAGGAGTATGAGTACTGAGACATTGAGATCAATTATAATTGTTGGTTCATAATTATAGATTCTTTCCGGCTATAGTCGTGCACCTCGAACACAAGACTATGAAGAAATTCCATGATGCCTTTGCTACATTAGCTGTGGCCACCAGTCAAACACTCTAAATATATCCAGGCTACCGCTCAGTGTTTGGTATTCTGTAAACATTTCAGGCAATTGTGTCGACACCTGTAGACATCTGACTGGTCTAAAGCCTAAGTTTGTTCACATTCGACGTAACACTGACATTACAGGACGTAAGGGCCTGTCGGGACGGCTGGGGTGAGCTGTAAAATCTTTTACGATTCGTACGACACAACATGCTGCAGTCGTTGCGATGTTCTCCAGCGAACGGCGCGAGTCATAAGGCACTGTCCGTGACGGGGTGACTTTCGGACCTAATTTCTTGTTTTTCGGGACTTCTTTTCAATTATTTCTCCTTGAATGAAGCGAAATCAAGTTCACAATACCAGTTTTTCATGGAGACAAAAAGTAGTCCTGAAAGTTGTTCCATTCGAATAGTAGCCCTAGGAAATGATAAAACAGATCATCTGTCATTCTCCTAAACTATCCCTAGATACCATAAGTGACATGAGATCTTATCTTGCTAAAATAGACCATTTGACAAAATAAAGTAGGGGGGCGTAAGGGGGCAAGGCATGGTGTATAGGGGGGCCCCATCGTGCATGAGATCGCGCGTGGACCGTGCACACTGCACAGTGCAGCGTGCAAGTACAGTGTGTACGTGGTGTACTGCACGGAGATTTCGTGTGCTTGTTGGTGCCGGTGGCCGTGTTTCTTGTTTTTGTTTTGAAATGATTTGGTTGTAGTTCAGTCGGTAGTTTTCCTTCGCCTCACGATGCCATCGCACGACCACTGCTCTGTGTTTGGCTGCTCAAATCGCCGATCAGATCAACGAGATCTGTCTTTTCATAAGTATCCCAAAGATCCCGACCTAAGGGCGAGATGGGTGCAGGCATGTAAGCGCGAAGAGGGAGCGCATTTCACGATCTCATCCAGCACTGTTGTTTGCAGTGAACATTTCAGGGAAAAAGACTTCCATCCAGATCTACCCGGGCTGCCTGCATTATCTTCTTGGAAGCCGCATCGTCGTTTGAAGCAGGAAAGCATCCCCAGTGTTTTCTCCTTTCGGCGACCACCAGCCGAGAGACCCTCTCCTGCGGATCGTCGAAGTGCTGCACTTGTTCGTCATTCTTTACTAGAGAGGCTCGATGTCGAGCCAAAAGCCAAGAAGCGGCGGCGAGGAGAAAGTGAGAGTGAGTTTGAGTATCGTGTCGGAGGCTGCCGAAACTGAAATCCAAAATCTAAGCACCAGTAACACAGCAAACACATGAGAGCAGAGCCCACCATCTCCACCAGCAACACAGCCCTCACACACACAGCAAAATCCAGCACAGCACTATCATTTTTGGCGTCATCTGTGAACACAAGTCGCAAGCTGTACTTGGTAGACTTTTTCTGGGTTGCCCAGCACTTGGCTTCGATAAAAATCTCGGCCTCCACACAGCACACACTAACATCGTGATTGTATCCACCAAAATACAGCTCGTGTCCCCGATCTAGAGGCTTCTTGATGATGAGTACATCATGGCTCTCACTGGTGCGAACTTGCTTTCCAGTAAGCAGCAAATGCGACAAGATCGTGGATGCTGTTACACGAGGAAGTTTCGATCTGTGTTGGGTCCAGCCAGAGTCAGGAAATACTGGTGCTGAAGTGCGCGTGGCGACGGGAGCTGCATCACGGGTCGACCGCTTGCTTCTTGGTGCTTCGGGATTGGATTTGTAGAATAACGCCCTGGATGTAGAACAAATGTCACGCGCAGTTCGTGAGTGAGTGTAGGTAAAAAAAATCAGTCGACGAAGCCCCGTATGAACGACCTCGTAAGTAGCTCCGCTTTCCATCCTGTCAACAAACCACCCTGCTTTCGTAGATAATCTCTCAGCTGCTTAATAGTCCAAGAAGGCTGAGGAACCTCTTCTACCAGCTCTCCGACACTACTCGTACCGACTCTGCCGTCCTCACCCTCCATGACCGTGTGACTCGACTGTGCACCAGCTCCGTCCACTCGAAAAAAACAAAACCAGCAAGAAAGTGTGTAATTTGTCTGCTTGACCCAGCGCTGCTGCATGCGCGCTGCTGCAGCGCTGGGTCACCTGACGCCCCCCCCCCCCCCCCACGCGTACGCTTGCCCCCTTTCGGCCCCCCTACTATTATTTGCGCAAATGGTCTATTCAACTCAAGTCGTGTTAGCCATTCTGCGAGTTATCATGGGAAGCGCAGTGTTCGAAATCCTAAAAAATTCCTAGTACGAATCGGGAGTGGACGGCGCACGCCGCCGCCTCCTGTTCACACTCAAAATGCAGCCGTTTTGTACGCTTGCGTTCCCGTTCCTGGTGTTCACATTGGACGCCGTCAGACCGTCCTGTCGCTTCGCATCGATCCTTACGCCGCGTCCCGTCGAATGTGAACTAGGCTTTATCAATATGAACTAGAGGAGTTCATGTTGTTTCTAGAACGAAGAATCAGGCTTGTCGTCACCCTTTGGCTTGAAGCTCTTATCACCAACTTCCGCAACGAATCAATCGAAAAGATACAGTCTTGACTCCCGATCTCTTTGATAGCCACGCATCAATATTATTGCGCTTGAAAGTACACAATTGCACTCGTATCCACAATTGGATGGAGTGCAAGGGCTAGAATACTGCCACTGGTATGCATGCATAAAAAATTGTTTGCATTCGCTTTGAACACTAACGATTATCGATTGCGCTCTTAAAACGATCGGTTTGCGAGTTATCTGTATACTTGTTTCAGCCCTAAATGCATTGCCCTCGTAGAGGACATGGATGAGCAGTGATATGAGCAGGGATGTGAGTACTGATGTGCCTTTCGTCCTCATATTTTACAGAGAAGACGTCTGCCCCCAATAATAAAATTAATGTAGTAATGATGATGTGTTGCCCTTTCATCTTCTCAGGAGCCCTATGCCTTTGCCTCTTCTCCCCTGGACTGAATGGACTGGACGCTCTGTCCAGTAAATGATTTGTAGTGTAAGTTAGGGTGCACTCTCTCTCTTGAGGACTTGCCCACCTTGATGATTGTGCTCTCCGTGTTACTAGAAAATGTCTCTACCTGCCAGGATGGTATAAGAGCACGAACTGAATCACCTATTGGTGCAGAAGGCTTGGAGGACTGCTTTTGAAACAGTTGTTCAAATTTCCTGCACCTCTTCTTAGCCATTGTCTGATTGCTGCATTCTGGGGAGACTGAAGTTAAGGCAAGTGAAGCTGCACAGTCCCCGTGGAAATGTTTATGCTGCAACTATTTAATGCTGACATGTATTTATGTATTTCAGGAATCTCCAGAGGGTGAAGGCTTGCTGCAAGCTCCGTCCCTTCAATGTCGTGATACATCCGTAGATCAGTCGTGTGCCTGTCCTGTGCTTTTGTGAGCATGCTCCTTTGCACATGCCTTTGTCCTGTGCATGCGCGGGCATGGGCGCGTGTGTGTGTGTGTGTGTGTGTGTGTGTACGCCAACGACACCGTCCGTGCACATGTGCATGGACGTGAGTTTGTGCGTTTGCCTTTGTTATATGTATACAGTATTATCAATTTATCATGCCTATACAAGCCTTGCCAGTGTCTCGATAGGAGAAGCAGATACATGATTACACCACTTCGGTTTTGACCTTCTTTGGCCGGGGCGAACGTCCAAGGAAAGACTCCCTCTGGGCCAAGGTGTTGGCGACAGTTGAGAGTTGTCCTCTATTTTGCAGCGGGGGACAGCATGGCATATTTGGTGCCGGAAAGAGTGCAGTTGCACCTTTCACGTTACTGTAAAACTTGCTAGGTCACTCCCTTGAAGCTGGAGACTGCTGATACTGCTGCTCAAACGGCTGCTGCTGTTACTCTCTGCTGCTACCATGGTCGTTGCTTTGTATCAATGGCGAAAATTCTCAGATGAGCTTTGGGTCCGGGCACTAGAACCCTGCTGCTGCCTCTGCAGCAGTTGTAGAAAGTTTTATAATACCAGTGTCAATGGTGAACTTCTGCTCTTTTTTTATCCCAGACACTTTGTGCTCAAGAGACTGTTAGGTCTTTGTGGTGTTGTCGTTGCTGTTTGGTTATACTAGTTGGCGTCTGTTTGGAAATATATTGTGCTTTTCTGTATGTTCATGTGAACGTAGAAGCCCTCACCGACACCAACACTACGTCGCTGTGTTGTTTTCTTCCAAGGTCGGGCACAGTAAAGGAGACGACTCTGTGAGTATATTCGCAGATGAACTTCGGGTTAATAGAATGCAGGTGCTGCTGCTCTTGTGCCGGGCTGTTGGTGTCAATGATGGGGTGGATCATGCTTTCTCTTTATATACCTTTTGTATATTTGTGTGTAAGTAGGAGCACATACCAACGCGTAATCCTTCTAAAGCCTAGTTCTCTTTCGACGCAACGCTGACGGTACGGGATGTAAGGGCCTGTGACGGCTGGGGTGAGCTGTGAAATCTTGTACAATTCGTACGACACGACATGCTCCAGTCTTTGCGATGTTCAACAGCGAATGGTGCGAGTTATAAGGCACAGTCCGTGACGAGGTGACCGTCCCGTCGTTTCCCGTCGATGCTTATGTCGCGTCCCGTTGCGCCCCGTCGAATGTGAACTGGGCTTAACAATGGCATGGAGACAATTTCAATTGCAGTTTAATGTTCCTGCACTGCACTGCAGGTATCAAGACACTACCCAGAGGGAGGATGTTGGCCTTCTCCTGATGGGAAAATGTCTTCTTTCTCAAGGCGTGGCCAGGACTGCACTGACCCTACCATCCACTCTACCTCTCCGGAAAGGGACTTGACAACCAGTCAAGATGGAAGTGCAGAGATATACCAGCGGTAAGTCACATGCTTAGGATATCCACTTGATGAAGGAAGGACAGGTGCTCAACTACTACACCAAAATGTGAGCATAAGGAGATGGGCTGATGGGTCATGGATGGGTGACAGGTCTTTGCCCGGTTGCTGGAGTATAACAACCTGGGTCTTTGATTGGTTTAGAAGCGGCCCGTTCTATTCGGTGTGCCATCCTCAATAAGACGGGCAGTGAAGATCTTGCAAGATCTGTCGCACATGTAGAATATGGACATGTGGATGCGGGCAGCAGATCTGTAATTTCCAGTATCAAAGTTCAGTTGTATTTGCTTTTCTATATTTTCTATTTGTGATGTTGTTCACTGCAGCTTCTAGCATTAACTGCCAATTTGCACTGACGCAGCAAGACTCCCCAACAGTCAAGTATGTTACATTGCATGCACTAGGATTACAGTAGAATGTCGATTATCCGAATGTCAACTGTCCAAACGGTCAATTATCCGAAATTCCTGTTTGCACTGAATTCAATTGAATAAGTCGACTTATACCGGTAAAATATGGTAACAGCGGGACTGCAGGGTGTGGCATTTCCATGATACAGTGGAAAATGTCACGATTTTTGGTGCAAACATAGCTCAGACGCTGCTCGATTGGATATACAGTAGGTATCGGTTATAGCGTGGGTGTTTGAAAAACGACTTTCTGTTCTTATTTCCGATATTTCTTACACACGATAAATCAAGTGTGGCATATCATATGCATGTGCGCAGGGGCAGGAAGATCTTCGTACATGCAACGCAGTACTTCTGTACATGTGGCTGGTCATAGTCCCATAGGCTTACCATGTGGCCATGCAAAATGAGTTACATGGCCACAACAGTTGAATCTGCAGCACTACGACGCAAAGAGAGTCACATCAGAATGGCATTGGACAGATGTTATTACTACATGCGATACACTTTGTACTAATCTGGCATGTTTCGCTACAAAAAGTCCATTCTTAGGACCGATATATTCCACTATGGGATAAAATTGCTTGTAAGAATAAATGTGCACTTGAAATCCATGTTATGATTATGAAAACATGAGAGTTCATTCTTGTAGGCAGTATATTCTTTTACACGACCACGCTATAACCGATACGCACTGTACAATGCAGGTTCTTGGAACCACGGACACGACTCTTCGATTCAAGACTCACAACACTTCGGGATCTGAACGTTTTAGGTCCGGGAGCTGTTCGCGGTTTTGTCGCTTGTCACGGTTGTGGACTAATCGTTGTAGCATAAATGAGGCTGGACTATTCCAAGCGGAAAACTAAAATATTTCTTTCTCAAAGCACAATCACCGGCCCGGAGGAGCACACCTTCTCTATTTACATACCGGGTGCAGTACATGAAACGTCCGTGTATTGACTAGTCTCTTGTACATTCAGATCTACCACACGACTCGCGTAGCGCTAGCACAGCAGTGCGGGTGTAGTCATGTACTACTACTACTACTACTACTACTACTACTACTACTACTACTACTACTACTACTACTACTACTACTACTACTACTACTACTACTACTACTACTACTACTACTACTACTACTACTACTACTACTACTACTACTACTACTACTACTACTACTACTACTACTACTACTACTACTACTACTACTACTACTACTACTACTGATGTTAGGGTCACCCACCCTAAAGCGTCCCTGCTGTCGCGTTCGGAAGCCCTTGGCCAACTGCGCACCAGCGAGTTGGAGAAGAAGCGAAAATACTGCCAGAGGATCACGGACGTCGAGCGAGGTGCCTTCACTCCGTTGGTGTTTGCTACGAATGGCATGGCTGGGGCAGAGTGTGGAATGTTCCTGAAGCGGCTTGTTCAGCGCGTGGTGGAGAAGCACTCTGACCTACAGTACTCCGTCGTCATGCACCATCTTCGTGCCAAGATTGCCTTCTGCCTCCTCCGCTGGGCCGTAACCTGTCTGCGTGGATGCCGGGGAGCTCGGGGCGTACGCCGTGGCAATTCGTTTGTCACGGAGTGCAGGCTGCTCCGGTAGTGGCATGGGGCTGTGTGGCCGATCCTAAACGGATGCTGTGACGTAACGGACATATCTGTTTTTGAGCATGTCTTTGTTTTTTTTTGTTTTTTTGTTTTTTTTGGTTTTTTTTGGTTCTACTTTTATAATAGTTTGTTTTGTTTTGTTTATCGGACAGATCGAAATAAGCATTCACACGCAGACAAATTATACATCCACCACCCTATTGGTTTATGATGTTTTTACACATATACCCCCAATAGGCTATTTATCAGACTCGAGTTTTCAACTTACACATTCCACATTCACCACTCAATCGGCTTTTGGTTTGTTCACACATACGTACCATACGCGATCTATTGGACTTGAGTTTTACCTTGTGTCCTTTTTTTGCAGTCAGCAGATTCTTTTGTTGGACATTGTTTATTGAGTTTCTTGTTGCTTTTGGTTTACGCATATGCGTCATTTGCCCGTAAAAGAGGCCTTGTTACTACTACTACTACTACTACTACTACTACTACTGCTACTGCTACTGCTACTGCTACTGCTACTGCTACTGCTACTGCTACTGCTACTGCTACTGCTACTGCTACTGCTACTGCTACTGCTACTGCTACTGCTACTGCTACTGCTACTGCTACTGCTACTGCTACTGCTACTGCTACTGCTACTGCTACTGCTACTGCTACTGCTACTGCTACTGCTACTGCTACTGCTACTGCTACTGCTACTGCTACTGCTACTGCTACTGCTACTGCTACTGCTACTGCTACTGCTACTGCTACTGCTACTGCTACTGCTACTGCTACTGCTACTGCTACTGCTACTGCTACTGCTACTGCTACTGCTACTGCTACTGCTACTGCTACTGCTACTGCTACTGCTACTGCTACTGCTACTGCTACTGCTACTGCTACTGCTACTGCTACTGCTACTGCTACTGCTACTGCTACTGCTACTGCTACTGCTACTGCTACTGCTACTGCTACTGCTACTGCTACTGCTACTGCTACTGCTACTGCTACTGCTACTGCTACTGCTACTGCTACTGCTACTGCTACTGCTACTGCTACTGCTACTGCTACTGCTACTGCTACTGCTACTGCTACTGCTACTGCTACTGCTACTGCTACTGCTACTGCTACTGCTACTGCTACTGCTACTGCTACTGCTACTGCTACTGCTACTGCTACTGCTACTGCTACTGCTACTGCTACTGCTACTGCTACTGCTACTGCTACTGCTACTGCTACTGCTACTGCTACTGCTACTGCTACTGCTACTGCTACTGCTACTGCTACTGCTACTGCTACTGCTACTGCTACTGCTACTGCTACTGCTACTGCTACTGCTACTGCTACTGCTACTGCTACTGCTACTGCTACTGCTACTGCTACTGCTACTGCTACTGCTACTGCTACTGCTACTGCTACTGCTACTGCTACTGCTACTGCTACTGCTACTGCTACTGCTACTGCTACTGCTACTGCTACTGCTACTGCTACTGCTACTGCTACTGCTACTGCTACTGCTACTGCTACTGCTACTGCTACTGCTACTGCTACTGCTACTGCTACTGCTACTGCTACTGCTACTGCTACTGCTACTCCTACTACTACTACTACTACTACTACTACTACTACTACTACTACTACTACTACTACTACTACTACTACTACTACTACTACTACTACTACTACTACTACTACTACTACTACTACTACTACTACTACTACTACTACTACTACTACTACTACTACTACTACTACTACTACTACTACTACTACTACTACTACTACTACTACTACTACTACTACTACTACTACTACTACTACTACTACTACTACTACTACTACTACTACTACTACTACTACTACTACTACTACTACTACTACTACTACTACTACTACTACTACTACTACTACTACTACTACTACTACTACTACTACTACTACTACTACTACTACTACTACTACTACTACTACTACTACTACTACTACTACTACTACTACTACTACTACTACTACTACTACTACTACTACTACTACTACTACTACTACTACTACTACTACTACTACTACTACTACTACTACTACTACTACTACTACTACTACTACTACTACTACTACTACTACTACTACTACTACTACTACTACTACTACTACTACTACTACTACTACTACTACTACTACTACTACTACTACTACTACTTGACACAATCTTTATTAGGAAACTTGAAATGGAGATGTGAAACACAAATACAGCCATGTAGATGGAGCAGCAATGCAATACAATGTCCAAAAACTCAAGAATTCATTATCATGGGGCAATGTTGGGCAAATGTCTGTCAGGTACTATCACGCTCAGGCTGCCCGCAACCTGCACATCGTCGTGAAATTCATCCTGTTGCGGCGGTATGACGATCTTGAACCCCGCAAACAGGTGACTGCCCATCGCATAAGGCAGACTGACAGCTTACAACGGAGCTGACCCATGATAACCGATACGTGTAGGTCGACGTTCTTCTCAGCAATCAGGCATGCCAGTGTCTTCAGTGCCATTGAGCATTCTCTGCCAATCATGCCCGAGGTAGAAAAAACTAGCGGTGTAAACGTACCTCTGTCAACTGCTGTCACCCGCTCTCCGTACTGGCGCTTCTTCATCCGTTCATGCGTTCGGAGCTGGCTGATGACTTCCTGACGCGACAGCAAGCTTGCCTTTGGGTGTGTAACCCGGATGTCGAAAAAGGCATCTTGCTGTCTCGTCCAGAAGCCACAAGCCCGGATGTCCAGGCGGGCACCTGCCGAGCGGTTGGCTGTCCTCCCTTGGAGCCGCTCACCATCATATGGTAGTAGAGGCGGTTCCACCTCCACATCCCGGACCGCCTCACGCATCACGTCAGCCAACAAGTCCCGGATCTACTACTACTACTACTACTACTACTACTACTACTACTACTACTACTACTACTACTACTACTACTACTACTACTACTACTTTTTTTTTTTTTTTTTTTTTTTTTTTAAACCATCCGAGGAAGAAGAGAAAGCCTTTAAAAATAAAAAATAAAACAAAAAAGGTTATTGTACCATGCCAAACGGCTATTATTAAGTCATGTACCAATTGTAATACATGACGTAGTATAGTAGTCAAGCACCTACAAAATACTTTGCAGGATAATATTTAAATTGCCTAGCATGCCTACAAATCCGCAGAGCATGCCAATGTTAAATAGGCCAACATATGAATACCGAAGGCGGTTACATGGACAGAAGGCGACATTGGTCGAGAAAAGATGGGCCTATTCTCTTCCTCAAGTACTACTACTACTACTACTACTACTACTACTACTACTACTACTACTACTACTACTACTACTACTA